TATCCAACTTTCACATACAAATATACAATATAAGAAATCTTATAGCAGCTTTGCATAACACAACTTTGCATGCACACGTCATTATCCTCAACAAGTGAAGCAGTGAAATCATTCACAACTAACAGTCGGCAAATTAAGTTCACTGTAAACTTTGCTTCGTCGTAATTTAGTGTCCTGAGAATCCTTATCTTAAGTTGAGCTAATTTTTTTGTTTTTTGACACACTTATAAGGAACGATTCCTACCCTCAATATACGTTGGTGTGAAATTAGCACCCCACGCATAACTCACTATCATACCTTAACTTAAATGTAGCTCCACATCTACTCATTATTAAATTTCTATGACGAACTAGAATTTAAAAGAAAAAAAAAACTAATTCAATTAAATGTTAATTTATCTGAATACTAAGAACTATGTGTAACAACTTCTAAATTTAAGTGATTCTATGTCAAAAAAAGAGAAAGCCAATATTTTTATACAAAGTAAAATAAAAATAAGTTAGTAAAATAAAAATAAGTTGATTGGAGTAAAAATTATTGAAAAATATTGCTCTAAATTCTTCAAATCCGCTTAATTTTAATCAGAGATTACTATTATGCTATGAAATTATCAAAAAAAATTGTGTCTCCAACATCAAAAAGTTAGTACTGAAAGAACTGAAGGAAAGAAGAGGAGCGAAGTGGACGTAGCAGAGAAATGGAAATAAAGAAAAGTATATTCATGTGATAGCCGTACAGTTACATATTTATAGAACACAGAGAAGAAAATGAAGCTAATATATATATATATATATATATATATATATATATATATTGGGGAAATTTGGGGCCTTAGCCCATATATATTCTATAAGAAAGAAATGTTATAGGAAAATGAAAAGTTACATGTAAAAGCTACCCAACATAAGCAAAAACAAAAACTTATGAGGGAATAAAGGAAGAAACCCCAACTATACCACCCAAAAACTAACAAAGCTCAAAAAAAGAGCAACATTAAGCGTGGTAATTTGCACAAAACCAAAAAACTATAGAAGAGGCATCAGCTGCACCAGAACAAAAAAGCTAGTAGAATATGTGATAAAAAAATCCCACTCAAGATAACTGTAACCCGAACAGAGGGTGATCAGGTGAAAGCACACCCTCAGCTCCCAAGAACTGCAGCCAGTCAAGAGATTACCAGGACGGTAGTACCAAATAAGAGCCTACAAAGAGTGAAGCCTCACGGAATGAACAGGCAGCAAGCTCCAGCTATCCAAAAAAACACCCAAAAAATGCTCCCAGGCATAATGTCTGGACTCAAATTTTATAAAATCTTCAAGTAACACGTTTTTCCCTAGTTGCCCAAAGACCATCCAAGGGACCTGCTGTGGGAGCATCATCATTGCCCAGACAAGCCTATATAACAGGGAAGAGGCAACAGTAAAGAGGGCCCGATCAATCCCACATCTTACAGTAAATCCATCAAATTTTCTACATCTTTCCATTTTAGTATTTTCTCAAAGAGATTTCTTTTGATAACATGCATTAAATAGGTAATGCATAAATACTTCCCCCCAAACCTCTTGTTGTTTCTTTCTCTCCACATATTATAAATGATACCACCAATAACCATTTTATAAAAATTCACCTCAGATTTTTTCTCAAACGCAACAACAATCCAGTCAGATAATTGCATAATAGAATGTCTCAATAAGAAACTACTAGTTCCAGGAATAATGCAAAGCAAAATAGAGAAAGAGTAATTGCACTCAAAAACAAGTGGGATATTGATTCATCTTGTGAATGACATAAATTGCAAGTAGCAGGAACATGAATTTGTCTAATAAGGAGAGTGTTAGCTGTTTTTAAACCTCCCATTAATGTTTGCCAAACAAAAACCGAGTGCCTGAGAATGTGGTTTTTATGCCATATCAAATTGTACCAATTACTGTCCGAAAAAACAGCATAAAATTCCTCAGTAAAGTGTTTGAATTTAGTAATATTTTTGTTCTTCCTCAAAAGACAAGGTCCTACTTGATCAAAAATAGGAATACTTAAGCAAGTATGTTGCAACAAAGATGGGAAATGCACAGGAAGATCCCAAAAACCTCTAGAAACAAGATCGTAAAGAAAGCAATCCGAAATTGCACCTACAGAAACGTCTCCCATATATTCAATCACAGTTAAATTGTGGCACCAATGATCCCATAAAAGAGATATTGGAGCATTCCTTGTAATTTTGAAACTAAAATGTTGTTTGGCAACCAAAGCAGTATTGCAGATCATTTTCCAGAATTTAGAAGCATTTGGCTGAGGCGATTTCCAAGGGGATTTATAGTTATGAAGCAGCCAGGAGGAGAGAGGGGAAGACCCATTGTACATCCTAATAATAATAAAGCAATTGAAGGCAAATTGCAAAGAAGCAAGAGAAGGAATACCCAACCCCCCTTTATATGTAGGCTTACATATATTATCCCAAGCTATCATGTGGAGTTTCTTTACAGAAGAAGTATCACCAAAAAACAGAAATCTAGAACTCTGTTTTTTAAAAAACTTATAAACAGCTTTAGGTAAAATGGATCCACGGATCCAATAGGCAATGGTATTTTGAATAGTAAATTTCAAATACTGTAATCTACCAGCAAAGGATATCAAGTTAGCCTTCCAACCATTCAATTTCTTGCTAATACTATCCATCAGAGGAAGGAAATCCTTGATTTTAGGTCTGTAGAAAGACAGGGGAATACCAAGGTATGTAATTTTGTTTACAATGTTATGTATACCAAGCACATTACATATCTCCACCTGGTTGCTTTGATGCCTAGGAAACATTATAGCACATTTGTCATGGTTAACATGTAAGCCAGAAGCATTGGCAAAATCATTTAAGACAATGTTTAAAACACAGCAATTATCTAAAGTTGCCTCCCCAAAGATCGAAACATCATCTGCATAGAGCAAATGAGAAAGAGAAAACTCTGGGCTGATGTCCCTTTGAAGCCTCACTCCTCAAGAAGGTTTGAAAAGGAATCCAGAACCAAACAGAAAAGATAAGGACTGAGGGGGCACCCTTGCCTCAATCCAGCAGAAGTGGAAAAGATAACCTTCAAGTGCACCATTGAGCACAATAGAAAAGTTAACATCAGTTATAAAATCTTTTATCCAACCAACAAAGTGCCATGGAATTCCTTTTTATATTAATCTAGCCAACAAAAACTCTCTAGAAACATAGTCGAAAGCTTTTCTAATGTCTAACTTGGCACAAAAAAATTTTGGACCACTCTTTTTACCAGCAAAAAAAAGAATGTCACTAGCTAGTAAAATGTTGTCAGATGATACTCTTGATTTAACAAAACCCGCTTGATTATGTTTCACAATCAAACACATAGCCGGCTTCATCCCTTCAGCCATTACATTGGCAATAATTTTGTATAAAGCATTACATATAGCAATTGGCCTAAACTCAATAATGTTAGTAGCATTTTTGAGCTTAGGAATAATAGCTAAAGCAGTAGCTTTTACACCATTAGGAAAGAAATCTTTGAGAAAAAAGGATTTTATAGATCTGCAAACAGAAGGACCAAAAATGTGCCAAGCCGTTTTGTAAAAGTGGAAATTAAAACCATTCGGCCCCGGTGCAGAGGTAGAAGAACCTTTAAAAACATCATGTTTTATTTCTTCATCCAAAACACAAGAGGAAAAAGAAGTAATCAAGTGATCAGGTAAAACCGTCCCAATAGGGAAAATGTTCATGTTCGAGCTGGTGGGAGGCGTTGGATTGTAAAGATTTTGAAAGTAATGGATGATAGAGTGTACCGCCTAAGCCCTTGTGTAATTAGGATAGCTAACCATCAAATTGACTTCAGATTTGGAGCTACACAGCCTTTTCCTGATTTTAGAGTAAAGAAATTTGAGATCATCCTCACCATGCTTAAGCCAATTAATCTTGGCCCTTTGAATAATCCAGGAAGCTTGCAAAGAAGAGAAGTTAGCCAAATCAAGATTATTAATCTTATAAGCATCATTGAGAGAGGAATTACTAGGGACCAAATGCAAACATTCCAGAAGAGCCCTTTGTTTTTTATGGAGAAGATCCAGATGTCTACTAACAGAAGTGGAGGAAGCCCAAGTCTCCTTCTTTATGCTATTCTTTAATTTTCTCAGAGAGTTGCAAAAATGAATCAAAGGGTTACCCGAGCAGGTAATGCTTATAAAATCAAGAATGTATTCCAGTAACTATCTATTTTTGTCCAATAGTTCTTAAATAAGAACCTATGCTTTACTTTTGTGTAGCTATGAGGTTGAAGTAAGATCGGACAATGATCAGAGCATGAGGGGCTTTGAAAGGAACAGAAAGAATCAGAGAAAGCAAGCAGCCAATCTTCATTAGCAAGCACTCTATCTAATTTAATATGAATAGGGTTGTCTAAATGTTGGTTAAACCAAGTAAATTTGCATCCAACCGAGTTTAAGTCCACCAGTTTATTATTGAAAATCATGCTATTGAAATCAATAAGGGTAGAATGGTGAATGGGAGTGCCACCCAATTTTTCATATGCATACCTGCAGCAATTGAAGTTACCAATAAGGGCCCAAGGGGAATTACCAATAGGAGCAGCATTAGCAATAGCCTCCCAAAGTTCTTTACGTTCAGAAGAACTGTTAGAGGCGTAGATAACATACAGCTCACAGATAGATGCATTAGC